AGAGCTTCCTTCACCCTGGGAAGCATTGGTTGGTCATTTATTTCCCTTCTGGAAATGGAGCCTTGCTCTACAGCAGGCAGCTCAGGTACCAGGGGGTGTTACCTCTGCAGTGTGGGGAGGCACCTGTGCTACCTGTGCCACTCCTGCAGCTACAGCACGGACCTGCCAGGGGTGCCCCTGGGTCTGCCTTGGGTCACCCACACTGCTTGTATTTAAAAAAATAATAATTTCATCAAATTAGTCTCGATCTAAACAGCACAGGGAAAAAATTCCTCATAGAATGTCCAAGGCAGGGTATGGAGCTGGGAAGGGGCTGGAGAATTCCTGAGGAGCTGGGAAGGGAATGGAGAATTCCTGAGGAGCTGGGAAGGGAATGGAGAATTCCTGAGGAGCTGGGAAGGGGCTGGAGAATTCCTGAGGAGCTGGGAAGGGGCTGGAGAATCCCTGAGAGCTGGGAAGGGGATGGAGAATTCCTGAGGGAGCTGGGAGGGGCTGAAGAATTCCTGAGGAGCTGGGAAGGGGCTGGAGAATTCCTGAGGAGCTGGGAAGGGGCTGGAGAATCCCTGAGGAGCTGGGAAGGGGCTGAGTCTGGAGCACAGGAGGCTCAGGGGCCCTTGTGGCTCTGCACAGCTCCTGCCAGGAGGGGACAGCCGGGGGGTCGGGCTGTGCTCCAGGGAACAGGGACAGGAGCAGAGGGAACGGCCTCAGGCTGGGCCAGGGCAGCTCAGGGTGGGCACAGCAGGAATTTCCCCATGGAAAGGGGGATCAGGAACTGGCACTGCCCAGGCAGGGTTGGAGTGCCCATCCCTGCAGGTGGCACCTGGAGGTGGCACTCAGAGCTGGGCACAGGGTGGGATGGGCACAGCTGGCACTCCATGGGCTGGGAGGGATTTTCCAGTCCCGGGATCCCAGGACTGGATTCTGCAGGTGAATCCATGGGGTCTGCACGTGAAGGAAATGCACAGCAGAGCCCAGTGTGCAGGACAATCCCTGTCTTGGGCTGCTCCCTCCTTTTCCCATGCAATTCCCAGCAGGTTTCCTTCTCCCCTTGCAGCTGAGTGAGTGTTGCTCTGTTTATATGGATGTGTGACAAATGTTTATGTGCATAGAGCCCAAAGCACAGCTCCAGCATGGGACACGATTGCATGGCTTAGCATGAAATTCCTTTTCAGAGGAAAACTAATTTTCTTGCATTTGCATCTCTAGGCTGGTGCAATCCTAATGGAACGTGGATATTACTCATGTGAAAAAGTGGGAGCTCAGCCATGAACAGTATTATATTTTCTTTCTATCATACTATTTCAGGGTGCACCAGAGGCTCAAAAAGGTTTATTTAAACTAATAAATCAGAACAATTTGTCAAAAACAGAGACCACCAGTGCTCTCAGGGCTGTGGCAGATGTTGGAAATGTTCCATATTTGTAAGAACAGTGTTCTGCTTTCAAATATTGGTACCCTGGGTAGGGATTAATTCACTTATTTTTAAGCATGGTGAAACATTCATTTCTGCAACTACTACCTAGAAAACACATTTCCCAATTAGTCTTGATGTCTGGATTGCAAGTCAGGAGGCAAAGGGAGCGCTGAGCCCTGCTCGAGGCAGCTCTGATGCATTATTGATGCTGTTTTCAATATCAAACATGCCAGGAATCAGATGCATAATCTATCCTCCCAGCATCAGAAATACCATGACCTTTCTGTCCTGTTAAGGTGATGTGTCTGACAGCTGCCCCTTCTGTGTAACTCATGGGAAAATAAAGGAAAAATCGCGGGGCAGGTGACTGGTTTTCCAGGGAATGTCTCCTGTGCCCAGTGCGCGGGGAGGCGAGCTGCTCTGTGCCCTGTTGGGGTCTGTGCTCAGGGACCTGCCGAGGTCCCCACGTGTCCCCAGCGCCCGAGCAGAGCCTGGAGCAGCAGCTCTGTGTCCCCTCGCCGGGAGGAGCCAGCTCCTGCTTCTGGCTCAGCACAGTGCTGCTGGGCTGGCAACGTTTCTGTGGCATGTTTTCCTCCCAGGATTTGTGATAAATGCTCCTCCAGGCCTGGCCTGGCAGCTGGCCCTGTGCCCAGGGCTGCTCCGGCTGCAGGGCCACACTCGTGGGAGCACAAGCCACCACTGTGGTGGCTCCAACAATGGCACTTGTCCCCTGCACTCACACAAGGCCGTGGCTGTCACGGGGAGCTGCCGTGCCCTGTCCAGCCCTGTTCCATTCTTACCCTGGGAACAGCAGCCAGCGAGTCCAGCTCTGCTGGCCCAGCACCAGGTATATCCATCCTTCTCTTCTCTTCTCTTCTCTTCTCTTCTCTTCTCTTCTCTTCTCTTCTCTTCTCTTCTCTTCCATTCCATTCCATTCCATATATATATATCTATATATATGTATCCATAATATATCTCTCTCTCTATATATATATGTACTCCATTCCATATATATATATCTATATATATGTATCCATAATATATCTCTCTATATATATATATGTATCTATACATATATATGTGTGTGTATATATATATATTTGTATACCTGGCTGCAGCACCACACCTGGGCCCTGCCATCCTTCACGTCCCCAGTTCTGTGCCAAGGGAAGGCTCCACCATCACCTCCTCGGGGCTGGACATTGGTGACACTGGTGACATGGCTCAGTGGGCATTGGTCATTCCTGGGTGACCCTGTGCAGGGCCAGGAGTTGGAGCTCAGTGATCGAAGCAGCTGCTTGGCATGAAATGTGTCAGTTCATACCGCTAAGCCTTCATAACATTTTAAAGAAAATTAAAAAGCTGCAACACTGTAAGCATCAGGATCTGTGCTCTACAAATTGACCTCGGGCAATTCCCACCCAGCAAACTCTGCTCCCTGGTACCAGCTCCTGAGTTTTCTCTTCTGTAAGCACACCAATGTAAATTCTCTGTCAAAGGAATCCTGTTAGCAATTGCTCTCTCAAATCCCTGTACCATTCAAATGATGACTGGTCTGCCATTCATGTGGAAGCAGTTAAAGCTTCTGGGTCGTTTCCTCAGGTTGTGAGCTAACCTGGCTCACTCTGCCTCTGCCTTTGCAGGGAATCCTCTAAGAAAATAATTGCAATGTGCACAAAGGGCTCATTTGCTGCAGCAGGTACAGCTCTGTGCCTGTGGCTACAGGCTGCCCCATTTTTTATCAGTAAAGAAAGGGGGTTTTAAATCTCCATTGGTGTGTTGTGTCTGCTTGCACAAAGCAGCAAGAATCTTAAATGCAAAAAACGTGTACTCATGTTACAGGTCTCTCAGGCAATATCTTTAAAATTTAATTTATTTCTATTTCTTTGCCCAATCAAACATGTTTCTTTTTATAGAAACTACCAGGCTCCAAAGTCAGGCACCAGCCTGAGAAACAGCAGAACTGAGATGGTTTGTACCACCTTGGTTTGGACAATGAATACCAGGAGTGTTATTTTATTCTCCCACTTGTTTCTCTAGGTCTCAGCCTCCCTCCTTCCCTCTGACCCACTGTCCTCTGTGATTTCTCTGGCTCTCAGCAGCTCTGCCCTCCCAAACTCCAGCCCTCTCCCAGCCTTATATCCCATATTTATATCCCAGAGCAGCTGCCTCCCTTGGCTCTTTTCTCCCTGATAGAGTCAGGCTTTTGCTCTTGGAATTGAAACCAGGCCCTTTTTTATCACAATGTTGTTGTGGAGGTTGTTTCTGCTGCTGTTTTGCCGTTCTCATTTGTGGTTGCTCTCTCCTTGCAGCTGCCCTGACCTGCTGAGCCCCATCCCCGTGCCTGGACAGGGACAGAGCCTCTGCTGTGTTGGACCATGAGGGACAGGGCGAGGCACTGAGGGTCTCCAGCCAGGAACACTGCTGCCCACGTTAACAGGATTGCTTTTAAAAAGGTCGGAAATGTTTTCCCAAATCTGAGCACTTTTTAATGGAGTTTTGTTGTATGACCATCCCGTGGTTCCATGACTCTATGAAAATAGAATAGAAATAAAATCTTCCCAGTGGTTGCTGTCTCCATGGCAGTGCCAGGGACTGGTGGGTGGGTGGCCCTCCTGAATTCCCCATCCTCTGCCCTGTGTGCATTCCCCATCCTCTGCCCTGTGTGGGTTCCCCATCCTCTGCCCTTTGTGCATTCCCCATCCTCTGCCCCGTGTACATTCCCCATCCTCTGCCCTGTGTGGGTTCCCTCTGCCCTGTGTGGGTTCCCCATCCTCTGCCCTGTGTGGGCTCCAGGACAATAATTGTCCAGATGAAGGAATGGACGCTGCCTGGCAGGAGGGTGCAGCTGGGGGGGACAGGCCCTGCTCCCAGGGAATGAGGGATGGGACAAGAGGCTGCATCAGAGGAGGTTCAGGTTGGATGTTGGGCTCACTTCCCCGTGGAAAGGGCTGTCCAGCCCAGATGGGAAGTCCCCATCCCTGGAGGGACGTAAGAGCCTTGTGGATGTGGCACCTGGAGATGTGGGGGGTGGACTGAAAGGTCTTAGAGGACTTTTCCACCTGAACAAAGCTGTGATTGCACACCTATCCCAGGGGTGCAGCCCCTCCAGCTGACCCTTCCATGTGAACAAAGCTGTGATTGCACACCTATCCCAGGGAGTGCAGCCCCTCGGCTGGCCCTTCCATGTGAGCAAAGGTGTGATTGCACACCTATCCCAGGGAGTGCAGCCCCTCAGCTGACCCTTCCACCTGAACAAAGCTGTGATTGCACACCTATCCCATGGAATGCAGCCCCTCCAGCTGACCCTTCCACCTGTGATTGCACACCTATCCCAGGGAGTGCAGCCCCTCAGCTGACCCTTCCACCTGTGATTGCACACCTATCCCAGGGAGTGCAGCCCCTCAGCTGACCCTTCCACCTGTGATTGCACACCTATCCCAGGGAGGGCAGCCCCTGGGCTGGCCCTCGGGCTGTGCCGGTGCTGTGTCCCTGCAGGCAGTGGCAGCCTGTCCTTGTCCCTCCCTGCAGGCCCCAGAAGATGTAGAGCGGGAGCAGCGAGCCGCGGGGCCGGGCGTCCCTCACCATGGCCAAGAGGGGCTCCAGCAGCCGCGCCAGGGGGGACAAGCCCGACGCCCTGGCCGCCCTGCAGGCTGCCAACGAGGAGCTCAGGGCCAAGCTCACCGACATCCAGATCGAGCTGCAGCAGGAGAAGAGTAAGGTGGGCAGCTTCCCCTCCCGTGAGCGCGGTTCGGTGTCGCGCAGAAGGTCAGGAATGCCAGAATTCTCCCTGTGCTTCTTCCCTTTCCCTTTCACACTGATGCCATTTGGGTTTGGCACTCTTAACTCCTCCAAACTGAGTGCTTACCCGCACGTGCAGCACTAAACCTCAGCTGTGCCTCCTGCCTAATTCCCAAGTTCCAAGGAGACACAGCCTCCCTCAGCCTTTGGGAGAGGGACAGCGGAGGGGGCTGGAGCCTCAGCTCTAAGAGTTCCAGCCCTTGCCCTCAGATCACTTCTCAGCAGGAGCATGGAATATTATTTGTTTTTCCCCAATTCTCCAAATCAGTTTCCACTGATAGACTCTGGGGGTTTTTGGTTCCAGAATAGAAATGTGTTACTCTGCAGGGACAAAATGATACTTTGCATTTTCCATGAATTTGCATCACTACTAGGCATTTTAGACCATGAATCTGACACACAGGTATAAATAAATAGAACGTCTGTTGATCCTTTTGCTGCGCAGCAGCATTTGCATCTTTAAGGCTGAGGACTTTGTTTTCTTGCTCCCTGTCCTTCACAGCCACTTCTGGCCATGGTTTCTCTAGAGTTTATGGCATGGTTTTAAACTGAAACATCACTTGAGCCTTGTGTGGTCAGGTACAGTCAGTTATTTCTGCTGAATAATTCATCACTAAAAAAGCATCTGGTAAAATGCAGCTGTTGGGGCTTCACAGGAGCTTGCACAGAGATTTTTGTGTCCTGCTTGTGCACGTGCAGGTTTAGCCTGTGTGCCTGAGTGAGCCAGAGTGATGGCCTTGGCGTCTGATTTTTCCCTTATTTTGGGGGTAATGTGCTGTGAGACCTTCTGCAGAATAAAGTAAGGACTCAGACTTACTCAGAAGGTGCTGACTGATTCCTGAATGTGTATTAAACATGAGCCTGCAGTGAAAGAAAGGTCTTTGCTACCAGCAGTTTGTAGACACAGACATACTGAGGTGAATACTGTAAAGCCATCTGTACCACTTTTAAATGATCTCATGATATGTATTCATTGTTTGGCTGACTGAAAATACTATTTTATTTTCCTTATAGGTCAGCAGGTTGGAAAGGGAGAAGAATCAGGAAGTGAAGCAGATCAAGGAGCACGAACAGCATAAAAGCACAGTGGTGGTCACAGAGCTCAAAGTCAAACTTCACGAAGACAAAATGAAAGAGCTCCAAGCTGTCCGAGAAACTCTTCTGAGACAGCATGAAGCTGAGCTGCTCAGAGTGATAAAAATTAAGGACAATGAAATCCAGAGGCTGCAGACCCTGCTCAACGCCGTGCGTGACGGGGCCCCCGACAAGGTGAAGACGGTGCTGCTCACCGAGGCCAAGGAGGAGGCCAAGAGGGGCTTCGAGGTGGAGAAAATCAAAATGCAGCAAGAGATTTCCGAGCTGAAGGGGGCTAAGAAGCAGGTGGAGGAGGCTCTGACGATGGTGATCCAGGCTGACAAAATCAAAGCAGCGGAGATCAGGAGCGTGTACCACCTGCACCAGGAGGAGATCACCCGCATCAAGAGGGAGTGCGAGAGGGAGATCCGCAGGCTGGTACGTGTCGCTCTCTGCTCCTGGAGCTGTGCTCCTGGCAGGAAATGAGCGCTGCTGGGCTCACTGGGAGGGTGTGGAAACTCCGGGGCTTGCTCCAGGTCTGTTTACATTTGCTAGCAGAAAGGGCAAAGTGGTTTTGAAAAGTATTAGGATGTTTGGTGAGAAACTCCTTTATCTGTGTGGATAAAGAGCCTGTGGATGCTGTTCACGTTAAAGGTAGCAGGAAGAGCCCTCAGGATCCTGGCTGGTCAGGGGAATGCTACAGCAGTTATGTGTCTTGGGTTATGCCTCTATGTCCTCAGCCAGCCTTCCTTCCTGAGCCACCTTGGTCCCTGCCTTTGCTGGTTCCCGTGGACATCCCATAGTGAGGCTTACACAACCCCAAATGCTCTTTGTCTGCACCCCTGAGTGCTGCCCAGGCAGCCGGGCACTCAGGGGCAGTTCTCTCCATGGCCACCGTGGTGGTTTGTCCCAGGACAGGGCTGCTTCTGCTCCTGTGTGGCTGCCAGCTGAGCAGGTGGCTGGGATCCCACCTGGCCCCAGGTGTGGCTGCTCAGCCTGCCCTCACCTAACCCAACACCTGATCCTCAGCTGCAGCAGCTCCACTCTCAAAGGCAACAGCTTCACCCTGTGGCCTTGGAGATGTCCCCTGGCCTGGGGAGGATGGAAGGGGTGCTGGTGCTTGGAAAAGGGGGCAATCCCGAGGGAGGGAGCTCCTCGCAGGGAAGGCTTTGCAGCAGAGCCTGGCAGGCCAGCAGCGCCCTGTGGGCTCAGGGTTCACTGCTGCTGCCCCTGCCTTGTGACCCACCCTCCTGAGCCCCGGAGGGCTGCTGCCTTGCCCGGGGCCTGGGGACACAGCCTGCCCCGAGATGTGAGCCTTGGGTCTTGTCTCAGTGCCTGCGTGGTGCCACCATCGTGCTGTGCTTGCCACGCTGCTTTACAGCTCTCAGTGCCCTGGGACAGACACAGCCCTCAGCTGTTACCCAAACACTAAATAAATTTAAAATGCCCAAAGAGCTTCAGCCTGGCCCCAGACCAAAGGCTGGCAGTGTGACCACGCTGCAGAGACCCCCTGCTCTGGAGGATGCTGTCCAGCATCACCTGAGCCCTGACCCCCAAAGGGCCTTGCAGTGTCCCCTGCCTTTATTTAGCCTCCTCTCAGACTTCAGGCTGTTAAGGTTTTTTCATAGATTATTTTATTTTTATGAAGAGGATATTAAAAGCAATTTAGAGCCAAGTGCTCCATTGATGCTGTTCAAATATCCTGCAGTGTAAGTACATTCTCCTCTCACCACACATCACCGGTGCATCGATTTCATTCAGCACATGAATGGGGGGCTAATGGACATCCTAAATAAACTTGCTGCATCACATGGAAAGTTCCCACTAATGGCCTTTAATGTAGAAGCTGTAAAATAAATATGGTCTTAGTTACAGGGAGCAGAGTGGTTCAACGGGATGTTTTCTAAACTGCCTTTTTGAAAATCAAACGTTTTTTAAAAAGTTCCTGCTTGAAACAATCAGATTGGCTCACTGCACCAATGAAATGACCTGATGCCATGAGTTTACAAACCCTGAGTGCCTCAAGGGCTCTCAGCCCCATGGGCTCCTCAGTTATTCTGGTGGGAGCTGGTGGCTCCTGGCACCTTGTGGGGAGGGCCTGGGGTCTGGTGCAAGGCTGTGCCCTGCTAACAGAGAATCAGGGGGGCACTGCCCCAGCTTCAGGGCATTTTCTGTGCTTGCATGGACTGGCAGTCTGTGGCAGGAGCAGAGGGAATGGCCTCAGGATGCCCAGGGCAGCTCAGGGTGGGCACGGCACGAATTTCCCCATGGAAAGGGAGATCAGGAACTGGCACTGCCCAGGCAGGGCTGGAGTGCCCATCCCTGCAGGTGGCACCTGGAGGTGGCACTCAGAGCTCTGGGCTGGGGACAAGGTGGGGATGGGCACAGCTGTCACTCCAGGGTCTGTGATTCTGGGTGTTCTCCAGATAAACCCCAGCTCCTCACTGCAGCCATTCTCTGGGCCAGGGTGGATGCCAAAGGCTCCAGCCCCTTCCCATGGAGCAGGGCTGACAGCTCCCAGCGCTGCAGGCAGCACAGGAAGGCAGCTGGGTGGTTTGGGGTGTTCTTAGGTGATTTGGGGTGTTTTTGGGTGTGCTGGGCTGGCACACGTGGCTGCTGTGTCTGTGGCTGCCCAGGCTGGTTCAGTGCCCTGGCTCAGCTCAGGGGCCCTGCAGGAGATGGAATCCCCCTGCAGATGGCCACGAGTGCGAGTGGCAGCCGCCTCCTTTGCAGAGAATGCCTCATTTCAGTCAACCGCTCTTAAATTTCAATTTGTGCGTTCTAAACCGCCTTAGAACACCGCGTGGCTGTGTCTAATGGCATTTGTGTGGGCAGGAGCACTCCCTGCTGACTGTGTGCACAGCCAAGCCAGCAGCTGTCAGCCTGCAGCGTTCCCCAAGCCTTGATGCTTGCTAAGTGGGGACCAAAATTCACTGTGGTGCAGAGCATTTGAACTTTAATTAACTCTAGGTTCATCAGGAAGGAGAAGTTCTGCACAGCCATGGCCACTGCAGCCTCCTCACTCCTGTCTCCTTTTTCAGGGGACTGAGAAATCAGAAAAACTGAGGAAATGGGATTTGCTGGAGCCTGGGGAGTGGTTGTTTTCAATCTAGATAAACTTTAGCTGATCAGGAGTATCAAAAGCTTTAATAACCTGTGCCAATCCCCCTGTGAGACCACTGGGCATGGAGAGCTTCAGAGCTCCCTGGTGGCAGGACCAAAGAGGGGATCACGGTTCTGAGCCTCTGCTCTGAGACCCTGAGCTCTGCCAGGCTGTGCTGAATTAGTGAACATGTCTGATGCCAAGGGTGGGATCACATGAAAGGGTAGGAAGCTGATTTTTAAATATTGATTTTATTGGTGATTGATTTAGTCTCTACCCTCTGCTTTGGTTTCCCTCACGTGTTGAGAAACCCCATATCTGAGACTGCAAGGGTGGCTCAGCACCTGAAAGGCAAACACACATTCAAGGTGGACTGTTCCTTCTTCCACCTGGGGATTTCTTAGTCATTTGTGGTTTACCACAATTACCATTACTAATTTACCACTTTATTTTTCCAACTAAACCCGGGCTGAAGGATTTTGTTGTACATAAAAGCCAGACAACATAGGCTTAGGAGGGTCAGGAAATTCCTCATTCTGGGGATCCTTTCCTGTCTCACAGGCCAGCTTTTAACACCACTTTTCTCTGTGCACCTAAACAAGGAGTTCCCATTTCCTGGGCTGTAACCACGCTGTCGTTGTGCTGCAGCACCCCTGACTCGGGGAGAGCTGGGCAGCTCCGTGGGGCTGTGCTGCAGCCGGAGCTCTGCGCAGGGCTGAATGCACGGGCCTGCCGGCTGTGCTGGGCTCGGAGCCGCTCCCAGCCCAAACCTGGCAGGGGTACTGCTGGCTGTGCTGGGCTCGGAGCGGCTCCCAGCCCGAACCTGCCGGGGACTGCCGGCTGTGCCGGGCTCGGAGCGGCTCCCAGCCTCAACCTCGCAGGGGTACTGCTGGCTGTGCTGGGCTCGGAGCGGCTCCCAGCCCGAACCTGCCGGGTACTGCCGGCTGTGCCGGGCTCGGAGCGGCTCCCGGCCCGAACCTGGCCAGGACTGCCGGCTGTGCTGGGCTCGGAGCCGCTCCCAGCCCAAACCTCGCAGGGGTGCTGCCGCTGGCTGGGGAGCCCGGGGCAGGGCAGGGGGCTGGCTCTGCGCAGGGAGGGAAGGAGGGTACAGAGGGGTGTGTGTCCCCTGTGCCTGAGCCCCTCTCCCAGGGCCGCCCTGTCCCCTCCTGCCTGGGCAGCTCATCGGGCAGGCCCCAGCGCTCTGGCAGTCCCCCTGGGGCTGGGACAGGTCTCCTGACGTGTCCTGATGCCAGCTCAGACCGTGGGGAGCTGTGCCTGCAGTGGACAGGGATTCTCCTCTGTGCCCCCCGCCTGGGGATGCCTTTGATCAGGCACTGGCAGCTCCAAAGGCCATTTTTGGCAGCACTGTCAGCTTGCAGGGCCCAGGGAGAGCGCAGGGACAGCGGTCCCAGCCAGGACCCTCAGGCTGGGTTTGAACGAGGGTGGCAATAATGACTTTAACAGAGTCACGCTCAAAGCTGGCGCTGCAGGAGCACCAGGGGCAGCACGTGTCCCGGAGCTCGCAGCTGGCACCAGCCGTGCCGGGGCAGCCTCAGCGAGCAGGCACACCAACATCCACAAACATCCATCCAGCCCTGCAGGTGGGGGCTCCTGCGCTGCCGCCCCTCCCCAGCTCCGGCAGCAGGCAGGGTGGGAGCAGGGAGAGCAGCCAGAGCCCTGCTCCAGGACCGGCACGGCACAGCCCGGCACAGCCCAGTACAGCACACCCCAGCCCAGCCCGGCACAGCCCAGCCCGGCCCAGCCCAGCCCAGCCCGGCACAGCCCAGCCCGGCCCAGCCCAGCCCAGCCCGGCACAGCCCAGCCCGGCCCAGCCCAGCCCAGCCCGGCACAGCCCAGCCCGGCCCAGCCCAGCCCAGCCCGGCACAGCCCAGCCCGGCCCAGCCCAGCCCAGCCCGGCACAGCCCAGCCCGGCCCAGCCCAGCCCAGCCCGGCACAGCCCAGCCCGGCCCAGCCCAGCCCAGCCCGGCACAGCCCAGCCCGGCCCAGCCCAGCCCAGCCCGGCACAGCCCAGCCCGGCCCAGCCCAGCCCAGCCCGGCACAGCCCAGCCCGGCCCAGCCCAGCCCAGCCCGGCACAGCCCAGCCCGGCCCAGCCCAGCCCAGCCCGGCACAGCCCAGCCCGGCCCAGCCCAGCCCAGCCCGGCACAGCCCAGCCCGGCCCAGCCCAGCCCAGCCCGGCACGAGGCCAGGCTGCCCTGCCCGGGGGCTGCGTGCCCACGGCCCCGCACCGCTGCCAGTGAGCTCTGGGCCCCTTGCCCTGCCTCTCCTTCTCCCAGCCGTGTGCTGAGCACATCTTCCCCTCCGTCTGTGCTCTTTCCACACTGTCTCTGTCTGTCAGTGGCTGCAGGCACCAAACTTGTGCACGTGTCATGCAGGGCAATTTACTCAGGTGAAGGCAGATGTCAATGCTGGTGTTTGCTTGTGGTTTATGAAGGTTATGTTTAGGGATATTTTTTTTTTCTGGAAAACCAACCGTTAGTGAAATGCTGTGAAATGTTTTGTGTTTTCTCATCTCTTTGTTCCTCCCAATTTCATGTGTTGCCTTTGTTGTAATATGTCTTTGTTTCCGTATAAATAAGAATCAACTACCCAATATTCTGCTTATTTTAAGCAAATAATCATTTGATGGTGTGTTATCTTTTCATCTGTGCATCCATTTAGATTTCTCCTCATGAGGCATTTAGCAGGAAGACCTCAGGTGCTCTGGAGCACCTATGTCTTTGTTTCATTCAAAGTCAGCAGACGCTGCCTGCACGGACATGGTTGGAAGGGTCGTTAACAATGGCACCCAAAATCCCTTTCATTTGCTCCATTTTGCTTTCCTGGTGTCTGGGTGACCTGCCCTGGGGGGGCCACGTTGGCATTTACTGCAAACAAAGTCCTTGGAGTGGCTGTTGCTTCCCTGTGTCATTTTTTTCCAGATTTACAGACAAAGCAGAGATAAAAGTAATACAGCTCTAACAAGGCAAAATGTTCTTATTTGAAGCAGGCCGGGTTTAAAAACTGACCGTTGAAATTAAATGTCTGAAGTCTCAAAAACCGATGGCAAAAACCCTGTGTTTGTGGAGGCTGACAGCAGCTGGCAGAGCCCTGAGGGGGGGCAGCAGCCAGCCCTGCTGGGCTGGGATCAGGATTCCTTCCCTGGGCTGGGATCAGGGATGTCCTTCATTGGGCTGGAATCAGCTGGGCTGGGATCAGGGGTTCCTTCACTGGCCAGGGCTCAGCTGGGCTGGGGGATCAGGATTCCTTCACTGGGCTGGGCTGGGATCAGCTGTGCTGGGATCAACTGGATTAGGATCAGGGATTCCTTCACTGGGCTGGGATCAGCTGGGCTGGGATCAGGGATTTCCTTCACTGGGCTGGGATCAGCTGGGCTGGGATCAGGATTCCTTCCCTGGGCTGGGATCAGGGATGTCCTTCATTGGGCTGGGATCAGCTGGGCTGGGATCAGGGATTCCTGCACTGGGCTGGGATCAGCTGGGCTGGGATCAGCTGGGCTGGGATCAGGGATTCCTTCACTGGGCTGGGATCAGCTGGGCTGGGATCAGGGATTTCCTTCACTGGGCTGGGATCAGGGATTCCTTCACTGGCAGGACCCAGCTGCCCTCGTGAGCTCCAGCCAGACCAGGGTCAGATCCTGGCTGATCCCATGGGATGTGCACGGGCCCTTGGCACAGGCAGACAGGGAAGGAGAGTGTTAGAGGTCACTGGGTGTTTGTCATTTAAGCACTTCACAATTTTGCATAATGTTTATTATGTGTAAGTAAAACCTCTCATGGAAGAGGAATTGCTCACAAGGGAGACTTTTGGACAAAAATAATTTTGTTAAAAAAATCATATTTCCTCCAGGAATTTTGAAAATTTAAAGGATACTGAGGTTTAAAAGTTAATAATCCACATTTTCTGGAGGTGACATCCAAGCGAAACGCTGCAGAATCATTAAAGCCTTTGACTGAAGCAATCCAAGTGCGATGTGAATGTCAAGCCTTAATTTTTTTTACGATATTCTGAAGTGGTGATAGGATTTCAGGCTGTTTGGCAATATTTCACTGGGAGCTGCCTGCTGGAGGAGGGAGCTCCTGCTGCGTGGCCCTGGCGCCGGGCGGTGCTGCAGCGTGGTTGTCCCTGTCCCTGTCCCTGTCCCTGTCCCTGTCCCTGTCCCTGTGCTGCGGGGGCAGGCAGCGGTGCTGGGCCGCCCCGGGGTGCTCGGTGCTGCCCAGCCCTGTGTGACTGTGTTCTGTTCTCCTTGTAGATGGAGGAGATTAAGTTTAAGGACAGAGCAGTCTTCGTGCTGGAGAGAGAGTTAGGGGTGCGAGCCGGGCATGCTCAGAGACTGCAGCTCCAAAAGGAGGCTTTAGATGAACAACTGTCCCAGCTCAAAGAGTCTGACCGGCATCTGAGCAGCCCCAAGCGGGAACTTCCTTATGCAAGTGGTGCAGGAGACGCTTCAGATCATTCGGGAAGCCCCGTAAGCACTTCCACGTGGTTTCACCTAAGCGAGCGACCAAACGAGTGACAGAATCTTGATGAGTGCACCCTGCAGCAAGAGCTGTCCCATGGCTGTGCGGGGCTCCCGAGGCACCTGCTCGTGCTCTGGCTTTTGTCGTGCCCAAACCGTTGAGATTTCCAATCAAACCTCGCCATGGGAGAGCTTTTGCTTTCTGTCGTTTTGTTTCCCCGTCGGTTTGGTTTGGTTTGATTTGGTTTGGTTTGGTTTTGTCAGCAGGGTGGAGTTCTCTGTTCTTTCTCTCCTTTTCCTCACTGTACCATGCTCAGCCACCCGCCTCAGTTTGCCGGTTTGACACGGTTCTGCCAACAAACGATGCAAATGCATTTCTCACCAAGTGCTGTTCGTGTGCAAGCTCTGGGAGGCGCGAGCTGGGGCTTGGGGAGCAGATGTACGAGGCCAGTTCCAGAGGGGACGGGGAGGGCAGTGCAGGGCAGCAGGAGCCCTGCAGCCCCCAGGGCAGCCCCTTCCTGCTGCTGGCTGTCAGCAGGACACAAAGCGAGCCAAAGACCTCCTGACCTGTTCTCTGCTGTTTATTCTCTGCAATAGCAGAACATCCGATTGGAGTCACCCCTGCAGGTGGCTTTTGCAGTGTAACTCTGGCACCTCCCTGCTGGGGCTCCCCTTTGCCCAGACGAGCCCTCGGGTAACTGCCCTCGTGCCTCTGACGTGTGCAGGTCGTCCTCATTGCTGATCCTCATCAAGATTTCTTTTGCGACAGCCTTGATTGTCTCAGTACAAGTGTAAAACTTACACCTGAGCAGACCAATCTATTTTATTCTCTGGCCCAAGCCTCTCCTGCACCTGTTGAATGAGGAACCCTAGACCTCCCAAAAGTGCCACCAGCACTGTGGGCACTAATTTGCCTCTCTCTTGTTGTACTCAACTTCTGCCAAAGACCAGAACAGGTCATAGAGAAGGGGAAAAGTCTGTCACGTTTGTCAGTAGCTGTAACTCCTCTCTGATTCTGAACGAGAACACATCTACCTATATCTCTATTCATTTCTAATTTGAATGAAGCATTTTCACTCAGATGAAGTGCTACCCCTGTGGCCTTACGAGTGACCCTTTAGGACCCCATAAGGGCCACAGCTTTCTGGAAGATCTTATTCAATGCACAATTGCATGGATTTTCCCCATTCAGTAATTCAGTAATTTTAATACCAGTTTCTTATGACCAAGTCCTCAGAGTGGGCGATGTGTCTGAAACTCTCAGTTCAACAGTGGCATCATTGGAACACGGCCTTCAGTTTTGATATTTTCTGTTGTTTCCGAGTTTACCATTTGTAAACTTTGTGTTTGCGCATTTGTATTGTCACGTTTGTGACGCTGTATTTGCATATGCATATACATATACATATGCATATACATACCTCTGCATTTGCATTCTTTGTTACATTTCCACTCCTCACTTGCCATTGGTCTCACCCTGCAGCTTTCCATGGTCACTCGGGCTCCATGGGTTACACTCCACACGATGACATTTAGAGTGTTTGGATTCGGGATAAGAAAAAGTTTGAGCTTTGCCAATGTGCTCTTGCGTGTACACTTACGAACAGTTATTTGCAGTTGATCTTTGTTTTAGGAACAGCAGTTGGATGAAAAGGATGCCCGGCGCTTCCAGCTGAAAATCGCGGAGCTGAGCGGGATCATCCGCAAGCTGGAGGACAGGAACGCGCTGCTGTCGGAGGAGAGGAACGAGCTGGTGAGTGCAGCAGTGCCAGGCTGGGGACGCGCTGCTCTGTCCCACAAACACGCCGGGCTTTGCTCCTGCCCTGCCTGCAAACCAGGGGCTGCCTCCTCCTCCTCCTCCTCCTCAGCTCGCTGCTCGGGCTGGGCCCGTCACTCCCCCCTTGGCTTGTGCAACAATGGTTTTTTAAGATGGCATTAGCTCAAATTATATGCATTTCTTTTTAAAAATAAGTACATTCCCCACACTGAATGTTTGCTACACAGGCATAATGACGTCTCATGTGGGAATGCTCTCTTCCAATGGAAAATCACAAGAGCTTTTATCAGTTCTGCTTTGCATCAGGAGAAAATACTTCTAGTGTGGTAGTTGCAGAAAGTAGTCAATATATTTGATGAAAAAGCTCCAGAGGTGTTATTTTTCTCTTTATCTTTCAGCTGAAACGTCTCAGAGAAGCAGAAAGTCAGTATAAGCCCATTTTGGACAAAAACAAACGCCTCAGTAGGAAGAATGAGGAGTTGTCACATGCCTTACGTCGAATGGAAAACAAACTGAAATTTGTGACGCAGGAAAACATTGCCATGGTGAGTGCCTTGCTCCTGGGAGAAGGGGGCATGTGGAGCTGGTGGGGCTGAGCAAGTCAGGCATTGGCCCACACTTGCAGGTCCCGTGGGAAACTGCTCCATTCTGGCAAGGTCCCTTCCAACCCAAACTAACCCAGCATTCTATGGTTCACCTTCGGCTTTCCTGCCAGGATCACCTCCCCATCCCTGGGAAATCTGCACCTGTGACCCTGCCCCTCCTTCCAGCTGGAGGAGCAGCAGGAGAGCTGCCAGGCCAGCCATTAGGGAGATGTTTTTTACTTACTGTAAAGGGAAGGGCCAGACAAGTCCCAGGCAAGTCCTCCTGATCATTTCCTCTTCTGCCCTGTGGTTTTTGGATTCTAGAGGCAAAGAACGGGAGCAATAAGGAGACCAAGCTCCCTAAATGACCTTGACCACAGCCAGGAAGAAAGGGAAGTGGATTTCCTGAGACTACAAGTTATTGAGCAGCAAAACATCATTGATGAGCTCTCCAAGGTGAGATGGGAGGCTGCTGTTCTCACGGGAGAGTGCCCAAGGGCAGAGCAGGGGAAGCCCAAGGAAGGGGTGCCCGAGGTTCTGGGAGCTGATGGGCACAGTGGGCAGCAGGGGAACCTGGCAGGCATTTCTGTGCTTAGTAGTAATAGAAATTATCTGTGGTCTGGTGTTTGGGAAAACCCTTTCAATCTGCATTGGCCTGGCAGGACAGAGCTGTGTCCTTGCATGTGCTGGTGGCCAGGTCTGGGAGGGAAACTGTCCGAGCTCCTTCAGCTGGACACACCACCAGGGCTGAAGATTCCTGTGTACAGGGAGGGGTCTGCAGTCCTGGGCTAGGGGTTTTGCTTCCTTCTCAACATGTTCTCAGTCCTTGGAAACAGAAAACACCAAAACCATGATACTCCTCTAGAAAATAACCTTTATTTCTTCCCTTTTTTTTTAAGCTTGTCCAGTTACTGACATTATTTCATTGTTTTCATTAGACCCTGGAGACTGCTGGCTATGTGAAGAGTGTCATGGTAAGAGTGACATTAGCTTCCTCCTCATCTATATATGCTTTAAATTGCTGTTCATGGAAAGCAGGAAGGGTACAATAATATTTATTCTCCCTTCCATCTGTGTTCAGCAGTGAGCTGACCAGGGGTTTCCTCAGAGCAGATTTTTTATCAGCAGCTGTTCACCAGAGAAAAGCACAGTGATGGTGGGGAGGAAAGCTTTAATCCCACCGCCTGCCCTGCTGGCCAAGGGCAAATGTCCCCATCTCCAGGGCAGCTCTGTCCCCTTGGAACTGCATTTTTTCACTCTGGCTACCCCTGGTTTTGTGCCACCCACAGCAGGGTGTGCTCAGCCCTGCCCTTGCCCCATCCCTGTGCTGTGGTGGGCAGGGATGTTTGGGGCTCCACCACAGATGGGTATTGATGGGATGTGCTGTTCCCATTGCCAGGCAACGAGTGTTCGATTGTCCCTGCTGCTGGCCCGGGGCTGGCCACCAGGCTGAGCAGCAGCACGTGCCAGTGTCCCCAAGGTCACCACATCCTTGTACCCGGCGGGTGAAATGGAGCAGATGAGGGTTTCCCCTGTACAGCTCCCCTCTCTGCAGTCCTGGGCTTTACAAGTCCAGAACAGAGACTTTGTTCTGAGTACTGTAAAAAATCCACCTAATACCACAAAGAGGAAGAAATCCTTCCCTGGCAGGGTGGGCAGGCCTGGCACAGGGTGCCCAGAGCAGCTGGGGCTGCCCCTGGATCCCTGGCAGTGCCCAAGGCCAGGCTGGACACTGGGGCTGGAGCACCTGGGACAGGGGAAGGTGTCCCTGCCGTGGCAGGGGTGAAAGGGGGTGATATTTAAGGTCCCTCCAACCTGGAATTTGATTATTCTATTATTTCCTCCCATTGGAAAAATTGTTGGCAGCAGTAGGGGCTCAAACCTCACTCCAGAGGCAGAGGGAACCTGCAGATCCTTAGAGAAGGGGCTGAGCCTGGAAGTGCAGAGTTCCGAGAGGCCCTGCGGTGTGTGCAGGGGGGCTGCTGGCTGTGTGCCCCTTCCAGAGCCACCAACTGCCACCAGGGACAGGGGCAGAGCCAGGGCAGGGGCTGCGGGGTCACAGTCACCCAGGGAGCAGCTCCAAGGGGGCACCCAAACTCTCAGCATAAAGCTTAGCATCAGCTTTATTTTAGCTTGATTTTCATGGACATAAAGAGCAATTTCTAGTTGTCTGTGGCAAAGCTGAAAGATGTTGGAGTAAATAACCCAGGACTGGTGACAGTGTGGGACAGTGGCCAGCAGGGACATTCCTGTCTGTTGCTTCCCCAGTGTCTCCTTGTACTGACAAGGTTAATTTCAATAACTGCTCTCTGAAAACAGCTCACATGTGTCTCTGACTCTTGCAGGAACGTGATAAGCTGCTGAGGTTCAGGAAGCAAAGGAAAAAAATGACAAGAATTCCTAAGGTAAAATACAAAACCTTCCACGGTGCATGCTGATGGACGGTGCTGGGGTGCTCAGAGCACCTCAGGGCCAGGGCAGTGCTCCCCTCGGGGTCTGCAGATGGGACCTGAACTTCAGTTTGGGTGATGTAGTTCAAGGACATTGGCAGACTGCATTGGGATATTCAAGGAGGGGCAAGGGACCTGTTTGCATCGAGCATTCTGAGCCTTTCCATGCTCTGCATTCACCCTGTGGGACTCTGGCGGGATGTGGTTGTCTTAAGAGCAGACAAATTTTATGAATTAACATATCTCCAAATGATCATCTAAGGGTGCTGCCTGAAAACATGTGTACATAGTAAATAATTCATGCTGGAGTTCAGTAACATGTGAAAATTGCTGGTTAGGGAAGCAATGGATAGAGCTCGGGGAAAAGGAGATGTTGGTTAATGAGGGCTTGGCAGGGTGTTAATGTAAATATTAACACTAAAATGTCACAGTAAGGTTTAATGTCAGGGCTGCCAGTGTGCTGTGATCCACAGATGAACAATTAGAGGGAGGCTGGAGCTAATGAACCTATGAATAACTAACTGAGGTCAATGGGAGATAACTCCTGTCATGCTGAACATCTCATCCAGGCTTTCCAGGGAGTCACATTCTGTCTCTCTGAAAGCTGGGAGGGGCTTTGGACAGGGATGGAGGGACAGGACACAGGGAATGGCTCCCACTGCCAGGGGCAGGGGTGGATGGGAGATTGGGAATTGGGAATTGTTCCTGGCAGGGTGGCAGGCCCTGGCACAGGGTGCCCAGAGCAGCTGTGGCTGCCCCTGGATCCCTGGCAGTGCCCAAGGCCAGGCTGGACACTGGGGCTGGAGCACCTGGGACAGGGGAAGGTGTCCCTGCCACATTCTGGGTTTCTGTGGCTCTCCTTCAAAAGTTACCCACTGCAAATTAAACCAAAGACGAAAATCTAGGTAAGTTTTTGTAAATCATTAATTAAAATTATCTTTAGAGCTGTGAAGTGTTGTCTTTGACTTTCAAGCATTTACAGTAAATCTTTCTTCACCACCATTCCTTTAAACAAAAAGCAGCTTTGAGTGAAAAAACTGGATTTCTTCAAAACATAGACACATTGCTGTGGTGATTAACTTCAAGTAAAATCCTTTTTGAAGATCTTTTCATGTGAAAGTCGTGGTGCTGACAGGAGAGACACCATGGTGATGACAGTGGATTAAAAGACATTTCAGTGCATGGCTTCCCCCTCGTGCTGAGCTGAACACTCAGAACAAAAGTGGTGTTTGGCCATAGAGAAATGGGAAGGAAATTAAATTTAAATTTAAAAAGGCAGGGCCTGGGAGGTGTCACCAGTGTGCCAGTGCAGGGACTGGGGCAGTTCCAGGCGCCGCTGGAGCCCAGCCTGGGGAGGAAGGTTCTACAAACATGTGTGGGAAGGACCGGGCTGGTTCTGGGAGAGAGCAGGGTGGGACCTGCCAGAGCCCGGCGTGCTGCGGCACCCTGCTCAGCCCCTGGGCCGTCTGTCTGTCTGTCCGTGTGCAGGGCTGGCTGGCTGGCTGTCCGTGTGCAGGGCTGGCTGGCTGGCTGTCC